CAGCAGGCGTGGTTTCCACATGCTCAGCTGTCCACTGATGAATCCTCCCTTCCCTCATTTATATAATATGGTGAAGACTAACTTTATTTTAACAGTCAATTTTTCACCTGAGAGACCTAACAGTTTGCATCCCATCAGTGGTTGGAGGGATGGATATATAGATAGTTGGATGGATGAATGGATATATAGATAGTTGGATGGATGGATGGATGGATGGAATGTCCCAAGAGTTTTCTTCTCCGCTGCCTGTATCAGATTGAGGTTAGAAACAAATACAACAATATCAGACACTCCCGCTTGCATCCCATGTAACTGACCATATGTGGACAAAGACGGCCCCAATCCAGAGAGCCTCACTGCCGTAATCCAGGGAGACACCCCCCAATCCAGAGAGCCACACTGCCATAATCCAGGGAGACACTCCCCAATCCAGAGAGCCTCACTGCCGTAATCCAGGGAGACACCCCCCAATCCAGAGAGCCACACTGCCGTAATCCAGGGAGACACTCCCCAATCCAGAGACACCTCCTCAATCTAACAAGACACACCCCACAATCCAGAGAGACACAGCCCCATAATCCAGAGAGACACACACCCATGATTTAGTAAGGCACTCCCTCTAATCCAGAGACACACCCCCCAATCCAGAGAGACATGCTAGCTGGGGAAGCTGACACCAATGCCACACTTCTCTCACTTCCTGTCTGCAGTTCCTTGTCGCTTCCCCACTTGCCTCATTTGACCCCAGCAGCTGTCATGGTAGGGGTATGGTACCCAGAGGAAGTCTGCACAGTGTTTCTGTTTTATCTCGCACATGCACAGCACCTCTGAGGCGTCAGACTCCTTCTCGTGACTATGACTCTCACTGACTCCTGAAGAGTCTCATCACTGGCACTCTCAGAGCATCCAGCCGTGTAGGGAGAGCTTGTCAACATGCTTGAGAGGGAGTCTTGCCTTCACTTTAATGTTTCCGAAATTATTCTCCTTATATATTTAAACAAATCTGAAACGAGGGTTACAGAGTGTGACTAAATCTTATGATACATTTTTAAAGGGCAGGATATCTGGATTTGAGGATCAGTCTAACTTGATTGTCAAACCGGATCGCAGTAAATAGATGGGGTACATAGCTGATTATTCACGTTTGCTAAAATCAGGTTCAGATTTAAGGTCGTTTCAGGTTGCAGCGTGACCTAGTGGCTTGAGAGAGGTAAGGAGCATGTGCTGACCTAGTGGCTTGCAGGCCCCCTTAATTATGATTAAGGGAGCCCTATGGGACCAGCCCCCCCCCCCCCCCCCCCTCTCCATAGCCTCCCTGATGCTCTGGAGTGGCTCTCCATAGACAGGATATGAGGCTGCATTCCAGACAACTCAGAACCTGAAAATGTCCTACCTCCTCCTTGAAAAAGTTCTATGGAACGGCTGTTGAAGTCAGGTCAAAGGTCAAAGGTCACTGTATGTGTGTTTTACACAGAAAAAAAAACAAAATCTAACATTACAACATCCTGGGTTGCTCTCTGCCTTGCGCCCGTAACCTCTGGGATAGGCTCTGGACCCCCCCCCCCCCCCCCGTGACCCTGAATAAGATAAGTGGTTTCAGAATATGGATGGATGGATGGACATTAAGTAGTGATAAGAATTTCTTTTGTTCTCTTAAAAGTCACTGATATCTCGCTGGATTTTTAGATGAACACCACTTTGGTTCCCAAACATCCCCTCAGGGGCACCTCAGACATTCCCAGTATTCATTAAATTTCACCACTAGCTCAGTTAATTAATTAATGAGGTATTGATTAGCCAGAATCCTGCTATAGTTCGAGTCCAAAAATACTTTAGTGTATTGGATGATTACTGCAGATATTGGGCTGAATTTAGGAGAGATTTTGACATGGCTAAGTTGACATCTTTTGACTGACATTTTGACTGACATAAATCATAGATGCAGACCAACATTAAGACCATTTGACCATCATTTCCTTCGATGGCCTATGACGTTTACACACTGATTAAATTGTGTGTAAGAGAGCTTTAGGTTTTGGTTTGGAAGTTTTGTTCCTCTTCACTGTTTCAAGCAGGTGCTAGAGATCTAGATATATTGTAAAGCTATTTAGGCACAATAAGGTATGTAGGACCCAGAATGGCAGGCATGTCACGCTTTAGAGTTTGCTGCTCATTCACACCAAGCTCGCAGATGAAAGCAAGGGCGCTGTGCTCAGAGTTGTGACAACTGCAGCAGTCATAGGTTGACCCTTTCACTGACCAACATTGTCAACGAAGCAAGTGTGAAATGAATGAAATTATGTAATTGGGAGATCCCCACAAATCAATACGATAAACTTTTGCTTTACAGTACTGCAACTGTCCGTGATTTATACATAAACGCTAAAAACCTAAATAGCTATCGACAATAGAACAAGACAAAACAGCAAACAAAGTTCGGTCTACTTTTTAATTGATATCCTTACAAGAAAGCAAGAAAAACTCTTGAAATCTACAAGCTTGAAATCTAAAATTTTTGATCCACATTCTCTTTTTAAAATATATTCTGATTTATTTTCTTGAAAGGGACAGTTTCCAGTAGAGTTCAGCTACGAGGTTCTGTTGTGGATTATTAAGCCTGGTGACAAGCTATTAAGCATTGCTACGTCTCGAGACCCCAGGCAGGAAACAGTCTTTGATGTCATGCCTGTCAGAGGGGACAATCCCAGTTCAGAATGAAATAATGCTTGTCTGTTATGAACTGTGTGTAGAAGGTTAAAATATCAAAGTACTCAATGGCTGTCATAACTAATAAAATGGTTGGTTTCCTGCAGTGAGGACTGGCATCTTTATTTTTGAAATTACCGGATGTTCCTTGTAAGTGAGCTCATTCCCCAAGGCCATGCAGAAGACCAAGTAGGACTTGGATAGGGGGTTGATCGGAGACTTGGCTGAGTATGTAAATTGTGTTTTTTAGATCAATACAAAAATGAATACAAACACTATTTGTTGACTTAGGAAAATATAAGAGCCTATTAGAACACAGAGGGGTGAGTTTTCTATCTAGAATTGTGGGCGGGCTGACTCTTAGCTCAAGATTCAAGACTCAGCTACTTTGGTGATATTGAGATTTGTTTCTGCACAGTGCAAAGACCAGGCAGGAGTGCAAAAACTATGACATTGAATCTACAAATCAAAAAAGGCAAATAAATGCAATAGGTTATATAGGGCAAGTAGATTTGGGCAATTCAAAGAAATCTGGTAAAAAAAAAAAAAAAACTGCAAGAGAGAGACTGTGTGTGTGCGTGTGTCTGCGTGTGTGTGGGGGAGTGTGTTTATTGGATGGAAGTAGTCCGTTTAAGAGTAAAACCTTCAAACTATATTACCCTGCAATCACAAGTAACCACAAGTCAGCATGTGTCAGTAACAGCATATTAATTGATTAGGAAATGGATTTATAAAATCATCGACGATAATGCTTTTAAGATGTCTAGCCATAATTAAGCCAATTAAATTAAATTATGTGTACTGTGATGGGCTGACATCCCATCCAGGGTGTGTCCTGCCTTGTACCCAGTGGTGCACTGGCTTCCCTTCCAGATTCTATCCCTGCCGTGTGCCCCGTGCATTCTGGGATACGCTCCAGGTCACCCTGACCAGGATAAGCAGTTAGAAGTTGGATAAAATTCAACTACAAATACAGTAAGCAAGTTGTACCAAAAATATCCATCTTTTAACAGCTGAGTTGTCAGTTTTCTGGGATGTGACAGAACATCTGTTCTCAGTGCCATCTTCAGGGGTTAAAGATCAAGGTGTTTCATTTTTTCAGTCAGAAAATTATGTTATGGTCTGATAATGGGAGTTCACACGTCACCGAATCAAGCACATGCTTAGCTTGTGACAGCATTTATCCCTGAGTTTTGTAGCTACATTCTTGTGGCTTTTTGTACTGATAATGGATCTGGAATTCTTTTTTCCAAAGGTCCAATCACAGACTGACAGGTTTCTAATGGAAGTCTGGTAGCGCAGGCCTCATGTGGCATTGAAATCATTACTGATTTCGTCTTTGATATTAATCAGTCATCTTTCATTGCTTTAAATGGCAAACCTTTGAGAACCACCTCACAAGAAAGCGATTTGCCATCTGGAGAAATTGGATTTTTCTTTTATCGTCTGGCTGAATGTCTCACCTTCGTTGGTGAGCCGATGCGCGGCGAGGCCTCGTTTTAATTTCCCAGGTGTGTGACGTGGCTGAACCATTGCCCCGTTGAACCCTGAGATCAAACATCTTGTCCTGACATAAGACTGTGGGAATCAAACTCAGGCACAGATCGATTGAGTTTGAAACATTTATGAAAGCGACATCTGATTGTAGGGCTATAACTACAGTCACATCCGATTATTCTGACAATGAGATTTGCCTTAATTGAGTTGGAAAAAAGGACAGCCAACATCACCAGGCAGCCCTCAGGTCTTTTCGAATGCAGACTTGTACACGGAATCAAGTCGAAAGGAGTTTGGTAATCTATTGTGAGGCAAGGGTAGCAGGCACTTTGTCGGACAGCCCTCAGGACCCTGCCACAGAGCATGTTTACCTTTAGTCAAGGTTTGTTGTGGCTGCCGTTTTCTGATTGGGCCCAGAGGCAGGAACCTAACATTTCTGTTCTGCACTCTTGCCCACTTCCTGTGCACCTGCGGGGAACCACTGGAGGTCGGTGCCATCGCTCATCGAGCTTCTTGCGTTGGATACCATATGGGTCACAGCTCTGTTCCATTTCATCTGTAATCAATTGCATGCTAATTACCCTAAAAACACCAATGTCAGGACCAATAAGGACAGGAATGGACAATTAAAGACAATTGAAATGAAAACACATTTGGATGAAAAACACCAACAATGTCCAAATGTTTAGATCCTCTCTATCTCTTTCTCTCTCTCTCTCTCTTTTTTCTTCTCCTCTCTCTCTGGTTTGTCAAGATGTTCGGATTTGCTCAAACATCTCGTCTCTCTCTGTTTACAGTTTGAAGACATGTACATGAGCACATCAGAATCGAGCCAGGACTTCCCGTCGTCGGGCCAGGTGGGTTAATTAATCTTCACTGCCTCCGTCTCAAGTTGTAATTAAACAAATTTGAAGGGCTGCATCACAAATTAGCGGCACTATCAGAGGCTGCCACGATCGGGAGTAATTATGAAGGGCAAACAAAGCCTTCAAACCCGGGCTTTCAGCTAATGAGATGAAGGAGATACAGTGTCATGCTTTGCAGGTTAGCGGAAGACTATCTTTAGTGTTTTGATAGTTGCAGTGCTGCATTCTGTGGCAGCATTCTCATTCACAAAAAGTCATTTACCCATAAAAAATACTGGTATACAACAAAATATCAGCAGAATATTACTATATTAAATATATGTATGGAAAATCAAATTATTATTAATGATTATTTTACCAACATTTTCATTTTTTTTACATACTACATTACCAAGCTACTCATAACGCTTCAAAAATCTCTAGAATTAAATTAACTTGAGCGAAATACTCATGCAGTAATATTTTACCCATCAATCGAGCCTGCTGTCAACCACATGCCTGTCTGTGGTCGTTTACGTAAAAATAACGCTTTTCATCTGAGTGCGCTTCGGTCCTTACAAGTGCAATAAGATTGAAGTATGATACAAAAACCAATCATATCAAAACTTGGGAGCATGTTTGATCCTTGTAGAAGTTAAGAGATCCCCACCGCAATTTGAGCACGGCTGACTGTAAACTGCCGAGTCTGATCTCCGCCGGAGTATTAGCCTTACGCCGTTGCTGGCCCGTGCAAGTGTCCGATCTTAATATCTGCTCGCGAGAAAATGAGATGGCGAACTTACATGTGTTACAAAGCTCCCGGCTGGCAACAAAGTTGCAGTGACACATGCGTAAGGTGCTAACGCGCAGCTCCTTGGACATTTACACCTTCGGCGTGCTAATAAAATGTGTTACATGCGATACCCAACAACCTCCTCGGCTCACGACTAACGGACACCTGGGTTCTGCCATGTGGTTGTGTGTTCACATGCCATATCCTCAAACGCTGGCAAATTGGATCCTTTAATTAGTCAATCAGTGATACAGGAGACCTGATTTGTGACAGCCTGCATTGAGAGTCATCTGTCTGATGTGTGGCTGAGCAGGTCTGGGCTCTGTGTCTGAGATCAAACTCTTGCTGAGTCTGATAGCTGAGAAGCTTTTCTCCACACGAGATCAGTGTTCGTACCTCGTCTTAGATGCCGCAGAGCTCTTCCATTGCACAATATACACTTCCTGCGCTGAGCGATGGCTTTAAACATCATTTCCTTTGGTTAGCTAAAACAATATATGGTCATAAATAACAAAGCAGACAGGAAGTGGCAACTTTCATCATCCGTTTCAGTCATGTGACATCTATGTGATACGGGTGACGTCGGCCATAAGGTCCACGCAGTGCCGCTCAACCCAGTATCTTACATTGACGGCTTACTTAGCAAGCTGCCTGCTCCCCATGTGTGAGGTGCAAGTCCAAAACACAGTGAAACTGACCACCCTGCTCCCCCCCCCCCCCCCTGCGTCTCACTTCAGGAGAGTGCCATCCAGCGACAGCCAAACACGAAACTGACTGGAGTCACCTGGAAACAGGACATGGACTGTCCTCGGCCTCCATGGGTAAATAACCTCACATGTCCTACCACTATTGCCCCCTGTTGGTCACTACACTTGGGGGGGGTGGGGTGGGCAGGAGACCCCAAATTGACTTTTAGAATGGGGCCCCAGAAACAACAACCCCAGTTTATGACTGATTCCCAGAAGTAGGCACAAGGAGGTTAGAGACATGACACCCTCAAATTCTACTACCAGCCTTTATGGTCGGGGGGCTATTTTTCACCTGCTATGCTATGAGTTACATATCAGCCAATGGCTGCAGCTCATTCAGATGGCGCAGCATAATACATACGTGTCGACCACAGGGGCTGCCCCTCGTCTGATTGGCTCCGGTATCCCAGCTTTCATGGCTCTGCCAGGTAGCCGTAGGGTCTCGGAGAGTCAGGCTTTAATTGCATTTATTTGAATCAGTGAACATGGAGATTGAATCAGTTTCCACGCTATCCGGAAGGCAGAGATTGCATCTGTGGGGAATGGACTCGCCTGACAGTGGGCTGAGTACAGACTTGTATTTGCCTAATTTGATGAATATTTAGCATTTGTTAGTTTTTAATTTTTTTAAATGATCTAGGCATAAAGCTCTATTTATTAATAATTTTATACACCAGTCAATTCTTAAATCAGCAGTCAAACTACTTGGGAAGATGGAGAAATTTGGCCAAATATTTGAATACTGATACCAAAAACATGACTTTTGCAAAAAGATAATAATGTATGAATGAAACTGTACATTTTATCAGTTAAAAACATTGATTGGTGATATTGTAGACATAGGGAAACTGCCCCTGTAAATTCCAATGTGCGTCTCGTGCTGAAGTAGGGTAAAGGACAAGCTTCCCTTTGGCTTTTGGGTATAATGATACCGCCAGAGGAAGTCAAACCTTACAGACCCATTGATTCTGTAATCCAAGGCAATTACAAAGTGCTGCACCCAATGGGAATTATATTTAGAATTATTATAATTATACCGAACTGTGGGCCGAATAATCACATTGAGGCAAATATATATGGACCTGGGCCCCCCAGGGGTAATGTGGACGGGGGAGGGGGGTGGGAATTTGTAGGCCATTAAATTTTTGGAGAAAGTCATGCAGACCCGGGCAGTGAGCACGATATGGTGTGCTTAAGCAAAAGAATTAATGCAGATTCAGGGTAGGTGAAAATTAGTGCATGCACTTCCGCCCCCTACTGGGTAAGCTGCATAACGACGGGACGTCGGTGTGGCTTCCTATTACCCCTCGCAGAGCTCGAGTCTTTGTGGTGAAACGCTCGACCACCGGGCTCTCTGTCTTTGACCTGAAGACAGAGTGGAAATCTGATCATTTTCACAGAAACGTCTTTGCGCGGCAGGAATTTTTGTTTCCTCTCTAGCTTCTCTTGTAGCGGTTTGTAGATAAAGTAACACATAAACACCACCCAAACCACACACACCCAGGCACACACGCAGCAGGAAGCCAGCCACTGCCTTCAGCGAAGCTAGTCTACCTGCAGAACGTATTTTATCAGTCATGTTCAGAAATTGGAAGAGGAAAAAGGAATGTAATCTGAACCGGTGGCTCTTATTCTGTACAAATGCACCCTGCAGGTATAATGAGGAAGTCTTCCTTTTATTATGACATCAATGCACACTTTCAGAGCTTAAAGACGCAGCTAAGTAAGAGCATATGATCGGCTATGGCCCTGCAAATAATGTTGTGAGGGTGCAGCATTGCCTTCTAGCTGATTATGATATAACTGTCAGTGAAGCTTCTTTCATACAGTATGTTTATAGGAGCAGTTTCCTGAGTACTCCGGGTATCTTCAAGCTGAATTTTCACTTTAGTTTCCATTATAGCATGCTTCTTTTTTCCTGTCATCACCGCGCTCTGTTACCATCGGGCGAGGTCTGAACCGGCGTGATTGATGGTGAAATCGCTGGCAGCCTTTTGTTGTGTGGCATCAGAGACCACGTGACCTCGTCCCTCGGCTGAAGTGGCAAGGCATCCGGGACGGGGACTGGGATGACAACGCATTCAGTCGCGGGTGTTGTGAAGGTGCAAAGTGCGATGGAACTTTGACCCGGGGCTGTGCACCTTTACATTTTGTAAAATGGACTCCCCCCCCCCCCCCTTTTAAACAAGGGCCTGCTGTTGGGTGGTGCTTTGTCGTCAGAGGGCGTTCCACCCAATTTGACTCTCTGCCTGACCAGTCCAAGATTCTGGTAACTCTGGGAAACAGTATCCACCCTCATCAATGACTGTCTTCTATACGGACTAACATACTGCACTCATTGCACTAAGACACTCTTTCTATAATAGGATGGCTGTGTTTATTCTCTTATTTGTTACTTCTATGCTGCTAAACAGAGAGCTGCTATACTGTTTTTCACTATTTCTGTAATAGTGACAATAAACATCTATCTTATCTTATCTTATCTTACTAGAACACCAATCGCGACGTAGCTGTGTAGTGATGCAGTTGAAGAGCGTTTTTTCAAAACTCGCTCAGTCAACGTGATATGTGTTGAAAATGTAACGAGTAAGTAATATACGATGTAAGTCCTTCCTGAGGATTTAGTAAGTATTGGTTCTCAATTCTGTAACATAGGCGAGGAAGCCTGACTTTAGCTCATTGGTGATCCCATTTCAAAAATAACTAAAAATGGACTGAGTGAGATTTGTTCATAGCATCACCATCTAGTCCCAATATATGACCACCGGCATGTCCAGAACGCCTCCTTTTCTGAATCTTTAGAATAGGCCTCCAGCTTTCAGTCTCTCAGGTTCAGCGGCTGGTGAAACTGGCCACATATTCAGAAAGAAACCTTCAGTCTAGCAGCCAGACCTTGCTGGAACAGTTAGAATAAACCTCTCAGATATACAGGTCATGTAAGAAACACAAGTATGTATCCCTGGTGCATTAAAAGGTAAAAGATAGAAGTTAGGGTAAAATAGATAAGAGCTGATCCAGTCATATAAATGGTGAAAAGGATCTTTGAAACAAACTGTGCCTATTAGCATACAGTAGGTAAAAGGCCCTCCCAGTCCTGCCAGAGAAACCGTCAGGTCCAGCTCATCACACTTTCCACTTTAGAAAAATCCTTTCAGGTACATGTGACCTTATATTCTACACAATACCTATTTCTGTTCTGATTTGCACCGAAACCTGCACAAAAAAAAATATTTATTAAGAAATGAAACCCCCACCGAGCTCTCTTTGCAAAAACACTCTGTAAGACCCCATATTCGCTGTGATGAAGTGTCTGTCTTTGATGTTTTCTGGATTCCCTCCACTTTCTGTAGCTGCTTACCCTAATCAGGGTTGCATGCCATCCAGAGCCTCTCCCAGAAGCTACAGGTGCAATGCAGGAAACAACCCAGGATGGGGCACCAAACAACTGCAGAACAAACCATTCACTCACACATCTCCCTGTAGGTGATTTTGGTGGCACCAAATCATCTTAGCACATTTTAAGACATGCAATCTTCTCTCTCTTACTTACACACACACACACACATTCACACAGACACACACGCACACATGAACCCTGGTCCAAGAGGTGTCAAACAGCAGTACTAACCACTGTGCCACCATGCCTCTCTCTTTCTGGAGTCTAGATATCAATATGCATATTTTTCTTTATAGAGTAGCCCTTGCGTGTTCTCACAGATGACATTTGGGGTTTTGGGGGTTATGGTCTAGTGTGCATGTGGAATCTTTGAGTTGATCAGTCGGGACTCCCCCTGCTGGGTCCTCGATCTGGTCCCTGGGGGACCTCCTCCAACCGACTCCCTTAAAGCCTGCCCCGTTGGCGGTGTCACCTCACCCACGTGTCCTCAGAGCCTCTGACATGAAAGATGCAAATAACATACGTGTCCCAAGGTTATGTGTCATTTTTCGTTTTTTACATGCCAGGCCCGTAAGTAACATCCCTTCCTCCAAGCCGATCTCATAAACCCAAACCTCGTTTGTCATTTTTTCAATTCTCAGCGACATTCAATAAACACAATGGCAATAGCAGATGCTCTTCATATATAATTCAATGCAAAATGACAGATTTATTATTGATAGTTACGTAATGTAATAGCACAACCTGCTGTAACTATCATAAGACCATGTCATTTAAATGGTATGGCTGGTGTTGTGCCCAAATATGGCGATTAAATTTTTTTTGAGATATGAGTTATGCTCCAACAAAATGATGCTTGGATAAAACATATAAACTTCTAAATAGCTCTGTGATTAATTCACTGTGAGGTGCGTTTGTAGGCCTCATTTAACATTCACTGCTAAAACAAATCAAAATAAAAATGTCCGTCTGCTCAAACAAAAATCTCTCACTCCACAATTTTATCAAGGTTTTTTTTTTTTTTTTAAACAAAAGCTGGCAGCTCAACAAATCCAAACTAGTTCTAGGGGGGATGCTTGTAACGTGACAGTCAAATGAAAACTGTTCACAGTCCCTGTTGCATTCACTACAGGCAAGATTGCTCCTGTATCTCCCTGCAAGGCCTGACGGGAAATGAAAAGTACTTTGAGAAAGTAGGCCTCCTAATTAAGTTACACACCTCAGCTTTTACTCAGCATCTTCATTACTCAGAATTAACAATACACCTTGTTGGTGTTTGGTGATTATTCTTCATTGCATTTTGTTTTGTTCTAATGATTTTTTAAAAATTATTTTCCGACAATTCTCGAACAAATCATCCATAGCAGTCTAGGACACTGACAGCTTTTTTTTCCTGAACATGCCGGGTTTCCCCCTGAATTACTGTTGATATCGGTTACCAGCCAACAAACTGTAACGTAATCAAACCTCTATAACCACACTGAAAGAAAAAAAAGAAACTGATTTTTTTATAGTGTCCCAGAAGGTCAATGCTGACTTTTTATTTCAGTGGTTTCTTTAGCTATTTTTATTGTTCTTCAAAGACACTAAAGTACAATAAACAGAAGATATATGCAGCCTAAAATAACGGTTGTGTACTTGTTTACTTTGAACAAGCAATAGGCTGCCGGTGTAGTGGTGATGTATCCCCTTAATGAGTCGGTAGCTTGAGAGTGTCCTCATTGGATACTCTGCGATGTAAATTTACACAGCTTTTCCCCCATATTATTATTTTATTATTATATTATCATGTAAAAGAATAATCTTAATGAGCACCTCCCCCCTAGATGTACTTTGAAGACAAGGAGTGTCATTGTATCCCAGACTCATCTTCTGTTAACCCACATTATCGTGGTTGGTGAATGCAGAGCAAATGCAAAGCTGGCTTTTTTCATTTATTTATTGAGCATAAGCTATAGGAATTATTTAAGCATAAATCAACGTCCCTGGAAGTGTGTTCAGGTGGCTCGACCATCCACTGGATCTTGAACTAGCAACTGTCTGGTTACAAAGCTGAGTCCTAATAAACCCCTGGGACATTCCTTATTAATGCTGCTAGCTTGCTATGTGCTAAAGTATAAGTATATAAGTTACCAGCATAGCTAATGTGCTTCCTGTCTTGACTCCTTTTCAGCAGTGTGTGTGTTTTTGATCGATTGCTGGCCTTGGTCTTTCACAGATGCATTGTTTTTAATTGTCTTCCGAGGACAGCAAGGTGTTGCTGTGGCTATTTACAGTACATCCGGCCTCTGATGCAGCTGGTTCACTCTAACAGACATATCCATGCATTTCCCGCTACCTCTGCAATACCCTGGTGAGAATCTTTGGCCGTTTGTCATTGAGGGAGATGAGAGTGATTACAGTCGAATTGTTTTGTACCGTATGGTTTATGTATTCATTTCTCCATTCAATCTCAGCCGTTATTGCTTCTTTTCACATGTTTTTTTTTTATATCTAAAGCCTTTCTGAGGTCAACAGTGGACCTACTTTGACATGAGGTGCAACGTTGGTAAAATGGGATTTGTTACAATCAGTGTTGAACTTTAATGCTAAAACATGTGACAAGGCAGAACATGGTTGCAAATCACACTCGCAGTCTGTCACTGGAATCCTACAGATAACACTTGGAAGGACCCTACAAGGAATTGATTAAAGTCAAAATTTTTATTTATATAGATGTTTAATTCCCATTTATGAAATGTTCCTCAAAGATCAACTATGTTACCTCCTAAAGTAAGTATTAAGTGCCGCTGAAAGATAAAGTTAAAACACGTATTAAGAGTAAGGTATTAATGTCATGCTGCGATAACTCTGTAAATTTGGCACCAGACCTGATACAGTGAGCTATGCTAATCCATTATGGTCATATGTTCTGGTTGTGGAGGAGCCTTTGTCAGCACCTAAACCAGAGTCCTGGGATGAAAGCTTCTTTCAGGCAGCTAAACAGTCTGTTTTTGTGGCTTCATGCCCCAAGATGGAGGGCAGAGCATAGAAAGCTTCAGGTTTGCAAAACACAAAATCCGCTGTTTAGCTTAGCATTAGCTGTTTCAAAACTATGGCTATTTATATGCAATATGTGTTTGTAGAATCACTAATGATGCCAGGGTACCGTCCCTAATAACAGACAAGGAAATTAATAATGAGATTTGTTTGTGGTTAAAAAAGGAAGAAATTAATATGAGATCTATTGGAGTCATCTGTGGAGGGAACAGTTGGGCTACGGTTTTGGATGTAATTTTTTTTGATAATTGCTTAACTGGCCGTCTTACAGATTTTTTTCCCCCTGATTAAAAAGTTATGTAGGAGGTGTCAGAGCAGTAATTAATTTATATACGACTACGTCTGTACCATCCAAATGTATTACAGTCGATGTAATGAATTTGTTTTCAGTTGGATTATTTCAAGAGCTAAAAGAATTTATAATTTGATCCCTTCTAACAAGTCACTGGCTGTTACCTTGAATTAAAGTGATTTAGCTCTGTTTAAAGGAGTTGTGTTTATCTTCCTGGCTTATAACCACAAGTAGCCTTTGTTAGTAAAATAAAGTGATGTTTCATGCACAGATGGTGATGCCGATGATTTAACGCCCTGTTTTAAAATTTGAATTAATCTTGCCAGTGAATAAAACTTTATTGGAATCACTTTTAAACCCAGGGAATTAAAAATAAGTTCATAATTAATTAATTGTGCACATATTGTATCACTGAGTTGTTTTCTGTAGCTGTGTTTTTATTTTGCTGTAATCGTGCTCTGACCTTCTGTCGTGCAAAAGTGTGACCTGTTATGATGTCTAGGTTGGACCTTTTGCGTATATTGTTATATAAACGACTGTATAATGTGAGATATTTTGAATTTTTTTCCTACATATGCACTACAATGTTTGCATGAATTATCAGTATACCAGTACGGCAAAGTCCATGACATACACTATATGGACAAAAGTATTGGGATGTTGGCCATTACACCTACAGGAACTTTTATGACATTCCATTCTAAATCCATAGGCATCAATATGGAGTTGGTTTCCTCTTTGAGCTATAACAGCTGCCACTCTTCTGGGAAGGCTTTTGCAAGATTCTGGAGTATGTCTATGGGAATTTTTGCCCCTTCATCCAGAAGAGTACTTGTGAGGTCTGGCTCACAAATGGCTCAGGTCTGAAGGCCTGGCTCACAAACTCTACTCTAGTTCATCCCACAGGTGTTTGATGGGGTTGAGGTCTGGGCCAGTCAAGTTCTTGCTTTGTGCACTGGGTCACTATCATGCTGGGATGGAAAAGGGCTTCTCCAAACTGTTCCCATAAAGGTGGAAGCATAGAATTGTCCAAAATCTCTTTCTATACTGAAGCATTAAGAGTTCCCTTCACTGGAACTAAGATGCCTAGCTCAACCCCTGAAAAACAACCCCATACCATCATCCCTCCTCCACCAAACTTTACAATTGGCACAATGCAGTCAGGGAGGTAATGTTCTCCTGGTATCTGCCAAACCCAGACTCGTCCATCAGACTTCCAGACAGAAGCGTGATTCGTCACTCCACAGAACACGTTTCCACTGCTCCAGAGCCCAGTGACAGTGTGCTTTACACCATTCCATCCAATGCTTGGCATTGCGATTGGTGATGCGAGGCTTGCATGCAGCTCCTCGGCCATGAAAGCCCATTCCATGAAGCTCTCGGCACACAGATTTTGTGCTGGGATTAATGCCAGAGGAAGTTTGAGTCAACACAGCATTGGCGACTTTTACGCACCACGCGCCTCAGCACTCTGCTTCCACTTTGGAATAATACCACTTACAGTTGACTGTAAAATATCTAGCAGGGAGGAAATTTCACAAACTGACTTATTGCAAAGGTGGCATCCTGTGACAGAACCACACATGAATTCACTGAGCTCTTCAGAACGACCCATTCTTTCACAAATGTTATTAACCCGAGTGCATAGTTGGGTGCTTGATTTTATACACTTGGAGTAATGGATCTGAATGAAACACCTGAATTCATTGATTAAGAGGCGTCTCCCAATACTTGTTAATATAGCATATTTTCCAGGAGTTGGGTTTTGTCAGGTGTAGGTCATTTAAATTTCTTTTTGATATGTAAAATCACATGATGTTCGCTTGGTGAACATCATGAACAGGAGAAGTGATTAATTCATCAAATGCATTGATGGTGGGGCTGGGATATGTCTGTCTGTATGGTGAACTTTATTCTCATTTGTTTTGTCCCAAACAGTGTTATCCTGTACCAAGCCTCAGCGACGATGGCCTCAATATCCCCCCCATCACCCCCCCAACCCTGCCAGAGCACGCTTTAGTCCACATGCCAGAGTCGGAGCCTGGGGGCTACCACCTCCTGTGCCCCCCTGTTTCTCAGAATGGACTCAACCCCTTCCACCCCCAGAACATGGACCTTCCCGCTATCACCGTGTCCAACATGCTGAGCCAGGATGGGCCCCTGCTTTCCAATTCATTATCTATGGTAGGTCTTTCTCACTCTTTGCATTTGTAACCTCTCAAGGCTGTTTCTTGGTCGTTCAAGATGGGGCCAGAATTCATACGGAGAGGCTAATCTCATTATTAACCAATGATATGTTTTGAACCAGTGCGTGACAGGGGAGGGGGCACTCTGGGGGCCAATCAGCTTTTGACTGGGGTCCCTGTGACCCCCCCCCCCTCTATTCATGTCCCTGAGAGCTCTCCATTTTTATCATTTAAAGTTATAAAAGAAAAGTTTATGGAACAAACATGGAGGAAGTGTCTAATGGTTGTGGTATTTAAGAATGAAGACTGACTTTGTTAACCCTTAACATATGTATTGTTTTTGGCATAATTTAATTCTGTTGCTCGTCCTTTTTCCTTTTCTTTTTTTTAAGAAAAAAAAATTACATTCTACAAGGGGGTAGCGGAGTATCTGCAAACCTGTAACTCGGTGCCCAGCCGGACCCTTTAGACGGAGGGTGATACTTGATTGGTAGCACTAGACGGTCTTTAAATAAATGCCACAACCTAACCCAAACAAAGGCAGACATCTATAGGAAATACAACAATTAAAACAATACTATCTCATATACTGTACATTGACCAATATGTAGATTCTTAATGGAAATAATCCTATACCACAGACATTAAAAAGGCATTGGCAGATTCTGAAGGAATGGTTTTTATTGATCCAAATACATATATGAGACTTTTGACATTATGTTATGCCAGATCTGGAAAAAATTTTACAAACCATCATTTGCCATCATTTTATGGGTGTTGAACCTTTGAGTGAAGCATTTTAGCTAAGTGGCCTTCGTTTGTGGTGGGGGGGAGGGGGGGGGTTGATAGACAAAGTGGAAAATATCAGCTCTGTAATTTCCGTTGCATAAAAGCTCTAACAGAGTAACAAATGAATTTGTGTCAGTATTTAAATAAAAACATAAAAAGGTAACACCGAGGTCTGGTTGGGGGAATACTTTTTAGAACAGTTCAGTTGTTCCAACTGGAAATATAATGGTTTGTGGCTTCATAACTGATCTGAGAACAGAGAAATGAAACCTAAGTTTTGTGTCAGGATGGCTCATCGCTGTGTTGATCGCTTGCACATAGTGCTACTGAATGGCACACTGAGTAATTGTGGCTAACCAGGCATCTCGAATAGGTCTGTGACAAATTCAGACATAAACCCAATTGTAACATTTTAACATGACTAAGTGCCTTTCACGTGACCTTTGGTTTCCAAACTCCTAATGTTTTTGCTCACATGAGTGAGTGCTAGACTTAATCTTTTGCATGATGGGCCTGAAATTGAATTATCACGCTGGGTATTAATATTAATATGTTACAATATGCAGCTCAGCTCAATTGCTCATTAGCCTGTGGCAAAAACAGTCTAAAGAATTATGTAATTATGAAGTAACAGCTTAATGATATGAGTCAGTTGTAATTTTGTGGCCAATTTGCAATTCCTGTGTTCCTCCGTGTTAACCTAGCATCGACGCAGTGGGCCGTTAATCCTAATCGCATTTTTGGCGTGGTCTGAGAGCGTTTGCAAATCCCTTGTGCCACAGACGATTGTGGGAATTAAAAACTAGCATTGCAAAAATGTTGCAGGGTCGTGTCAGAAAAATAAATGCATAAATAAATAGAAACACACACACACACACACAAACACACACACAAAATAGAATTCATGCATAATGAAAGATCTCGAGAATCACCCAAGGCATTTATTCTTTTTACCTTAATGTTCTCAGTGCTGGAAGGATATCCATTAGGAGCGCCTATGAATTATGGTTGCCAGGCAACAGAGGAGAGCTCAAGCTTCAGCATAGAATGAAATAGCTGTTTGATAGAATGAAATTTTCTCCAAGCATTAGGCTGTTGAAACTGCCTTTTCTTGTGGAACATAAAGTGCTTTTATTTGTCTCATGCATTTTTTAGTAGAAAATTATTTCAGTTCCAGGGCCTTGAATTGCTTCGCCACAGAAAGATATTTGATTTTAATGTGTTTTGCTAAAATACATTGGAGAGAAAGGGGAAAGGAGTAGACTCATTGAACTGTGATTTGTGGGCTTTATTTAAGGAGAAGTATAAGCTTGTTCAATGCACGTTAGGATTTTAGATTATAGAACCCAAAGGAATACATTAGGCGAGCCAAACATGGGTTTAGTTCATATGAACCGAAAGGTTCTGTGAGAACGATTCAGATGAAGAGCTCGCCGTTGACCACATCCTGTCCAATCATGCATGCATTTCGCTTGAAAGGCACAATTTTGCCGTTTCTCTGAGGCTGAGGGTTACGAATGTATACGTATCCTTCGTATGTATTTATTTGTTTGGCTCATGTACAGAAAGGAGAAAGGTGATAAAATGCAGAGCTCTGCCTTCATGGCAACACCTCCATAGCTTGAGACGTGAAAAAGCAGAGCATGCTGGGATACAAAGTGTCCGTTGGATGAGTTCAATGAGGCCTAGAAATCACCGTTTGCATAGAGAAAAAGACTGTTATAGTGAGAGAGACAAACCACATTATTCACCATGACCCTGCTGTGGGAATTCTGGTGTTTGCTGAGTAATCTTATAGCTAAAAATATTTCAATTAGCTAAAGTGAAAAGGAAAAACATACAGAAGCTGAAATAAGCAGAAAATCTGCAGACCCTCAGAATAAAACACATTACACGCAAAAATTTTAGGGGTGAATTTTTTGTATTTATAGAGAGCCTGGAAAAGGTTTCGAGACATTTTCCGTCAAAATCAGCCAAAAAAAAAAAAAGAAGAAGAATTCTGTGAGTCACTTTTTGGTAATTAATATTAAACAGAAATAGTTTCCCACAAAATCAGTGTGGGCTGCTTTGTTACTCACTGTGTATAAATTGCAGTTCGTATTTTAGCTGTGTAGTATAAATTTGTATACTAGCATATTTACTAAGCACAATATATAAATGTAATTAAACGAATATTCATAAGTTTTAAACAGATATTGTTACTGCACATAACACAATTATATATATCGTGTGTGTGTGTGTGTTTAGAATTGGGATAGGCACACGAATAAACTGCATGTGTTATGCATATATAATCAGGTTAGTCATATGTGCTTCGTATATATGAAATCGGGTAAACCCCTTATATATATGCAAATTTCTTCTTAATATTCATCATCTGTACTAAAGATTTCAAATATAAACTTTCTAGTTAAGCAGTGGCTTCAGTTTTGTCACAGAATTATTTAGCTGCATTCTGGATCTCTGCTAGTCATGTGGGGCCTGTGTAATGTCTCACTGGAATTAATTACATTAAATTCAAACAATATCCCTTAAACTTCAGTTTTTCTTAGCTAACTTGTTTGTTGCAACAATTGGCAAAGAAAATAGAATTAAGAAAACAATACAAATCAATGAAAACAATGTAAATAAATGTATTTAATCTGTTTTAAAATTATGCAATTTCTATCCATCTATCTATCTATCACAGTCGTGGCCTATTAAAGAATTTACTTTATAAAATTTATTTTACTGTATAAAATTAGTGTATTATCCTTAATTTAGGGAAGAAAAGCTGCAATAGTATGTATAAGCTGCAGATTAGAGCATCTTCCCTGTCCTGCTGCAGACAGATGTAGTGGGTCACCTGGGATTATTGTTGAATTCGTGAACTTTAAATTTGGCTGGTGCTTCTTAACCAGCTACATTCAGGACACCCAGATTATTCAATATTGCCTGCAGTAAAAAAGAGATCGACCCTCAGTTGTTAAAGAGAAACACCTACACATGTTCTGTGTTTCACAGACTGTTTTCAGGTGAATTCATTTGCAGAATTTACCACGGTCATTAATTTTATGGGAAACGCGTTTGTTCAAGTTAAAGCTTGTTGTACGCAGACCAGACGAATCACCAGCAACCAGAAGCTGATTTGAATAATCACTTTTTTACATTTATTATAGAAGCGAACAGGTTTTTTTATTGTGGGTTTAATAGCACTTCCAATAAAGATCTAAATTATTCAGACTCAGATTAGCTTTGGGATTTTATTAGGTGCCCTGTAAATTAGCCAGCTGCCGCTGCAAATTCAACACCCTTCCCAAAAGAATAAAATTAGAGTTGTGTTATTACAAAATAACACCTTTTATATACAGATACGCACTGTGATAAGAACCCAGTGCGTTTGAACTTGGCGATGCAAGTCAGAGCTGTACTTTTGAAATGATACCAGTAAGCGAAAAAAGGTAAATACACAGTTTAGAATCAAACAACTCTCTCCCTAATGGAGCTGCTGATGCTCTCCAGAGGCGTCGCATTTTTTGTTCTGTTCACTGCTGATGTTTTCTGGCTGTGTTCTGAGGGACACTCTGGGGAAAGACTCATTAATCCATTAAATCTCTGAGTGCTTCACTTCATTCTATTTGTTTACCTGACTTTTATCCAAAGTGATGTACATTTTTTTTTCAGAGAGAGCAGGGCCAGGCAATTGCGGGTTAAGAGTCTTGCTCAGGGGTCCTACTGTGAAATCTCTCTGTCGGCCATGGGCTTTGATCCAATGACCTTCTGTATGTGTTGAAGTCATATGTGTTAAAATGAAACATGGCTTGTCTTCTGAATCCTAATCACATCATAATATGGACAGATTAGTAATATTCAGCACATGCTCATATGGCAGCGGGGATGACCAGGACCCTGGCAAAGTGACAGCTGTGTGTCGAATTCCTGCTGGGACCCCTTTCATAGAGTGGCCCTGTATAATTCAAAAATTTAATATGCATATTATCTAAGCAATAAAGGTCACCAATTTTAAAAGAGCTGATGTTGTATGTAAACAGTGTGTCAGTCCGTCAAGGACACTGTGGTGTCGGCAAGCAGGCGAGCGGAGAAGCAGGCGAGTCAAGCCGGTAATACGGGCAAACGGGGTTTATTTGGGAAATCCACAGGACAACAACAAACAAACATCACACTACATCAATGACGGATCTGGGGAACACTGACTCAGACACGGACTAAATACACAGGATACTCTGAACAGAACAGGCAACAGGTGAATACAATCGGGAATTAACACAAGGTAATGAGTGGGGCGTGGCACACAGGAGGATCGGACGAGCCGGGGGTGACAGACACCCCAATAAGCCCGCTGTGTATAGTTTTAATTGACATTCATTTGCTTGTGCATACAGAAATATCAGTTTATGTATTTATTATGGATTTCTTTTGTTAATTGACTTACATAGCCGCTAGTTTTACACATACGTAAAAAAAGTGTGATCTTTTGACCCAGTTGAGATTCCTGAAATATGCCTGACAAGCTTGTTCATAGCAAGATGCCAAGTCCCGGGCCCAGTGCTGGGGAAGGTTCAATTTAGTGGGAGATTAAAACACAAGGACAGAGCCATTTCTGTTTCCTCTGAGGAACAAATGAACACAAATTAAGTATCTCTCCAGGAAAATACACAGGCTAGTTTGATTGTTTATTATGTTATAGTATATCTCCCCTTCCATGGAAATGGCTTTAAACATTTACCTCTCTCTTTATCAACTCGTTTTATATATGTGAGTCTTAATAACACTAACACCTTAAATCAGAAGTGAAATTGTCCGTCTCGGTGCAGTTGTGACTTACGAAAGACTCACATTGTTGTTATCTGTGTAAACTGAGCAAACCTGAAACCATGAATGCAGTTGCCGTTTGTGCACAACCGTGCAAGATCCAGTGCAAAACGATAGCTGTGCAACGCCACCAGGCACAGTTTGAGAAGACCTGCATTCCAAAAAGGATGTCATGCCTCGGTAGAGATAGGACTGAGGTGTGGTAAACGAGGCCTGTCCCGTTTCTGCGGTTCAGAAACTCTTCAGATTGCGCTTCTCTCAGCTTCACAGAGACGTGTGAACTTTTCTGATGACGTCAAGTTATTTTTTATGTAAACAGACAATCCAGGTCTTAATTATCCCCATGAGTTTTTACGTGTCTCAGATATAACCCTTATTGTTATTTTGCCTTTTTTATATGGTTATTTCTGGTTCTGTGGCCCATGCACGTGTGTTGCCATGGTAGCCTGCAACAGGCCTTCCTACTGACTGCAACACGAGTAGAGACAGGACTCCAGCAGTGGGCCAGTAAATGAGGTGCTGGGTGTCAGATAACAGGGGGCGGGGTTAAGAGGGAAGGGGTCGGAGGGTGTCTCTTGCCTCGCGTTCCTCGGTGGTGGTTTTCTGGCCTGAATCCAGTTCCCGCTGCTTCTGCTAAGTGCCAGCTGAAGGGGGGCAGGCTTTAAGACCCAGGGGACCACCTGCATTTCTGACCTCACAGCAGTCCCATGGCCGGCTCTCTGCTGAAACAGTTAGAGTTCCCAAGAATATTGCACCACCCTCTTTAGATTCCCCCCTGCTCAAACAAAATGGGGGGGGGGGTATCTCTATAACACGGGTTTTTGTTGTATTTATTCTTGTTAATGATGCATGTGGGATTAAAATAAATAAAAATAAATTCTGGTGAAATCGAGCTTGTTGTATCTCCCACAAAGATGCAGGAAATGGCAAATTCAGACTCGCCCCGATACAACAGCCATGCTCAGATGGAGACCCCCAGACCCAGGATCCAATCAGTCGTGATGCAACACGGTCAGCTGTCCACGATCAACCAATCACAGCTCAGCGCACAGCTCGGCTTGAGTGGGAACAACATTACCCACAATTCCCCATCACCCCCTGGAAGCAAGTCAGCAACTCCTTCACCATCTAGTTCAGTACATGAAGATGAAACTGATGAGTCATTAAAGGTATATCCTTTACACATTTATTATTATTATTATTACTTTATTTTTTTCGGAAACTGTTGTTCAAGGTGATGTTCTCAAAAGTTTATTATGTTTTCTTTCACGAGCAGTTCTGTGAACGATCCTCAATTTTGTTTCCATGAGAATAGCTGGGAATAATTGTAAATTTTTTTAGCTTACATTTTTCAGTAATTTCAGCCTCTACAAAATTTACATGAAATGGTGAAAAGTAACAGTAAGTTTTATTGTTAAATGTTACACTACCATAACCCTACCCAAGGGCAAAACACAATATGACGTGTTCATAGTTGTGAGTCATTTTTGACCTTCTGGGTATTTATCAAATCACTGTTATTTCCAAAAAGCCAGCTAACCAATACTATGCTATTTTGAGGTTCATTTAGATATTTATTTCCAGCATTAAAAACGTAATACAGATATGAAGACAGAAAAAATCAATGCACTGCTTCATATAACCTTGTCTGATATGTCACATATATTTCCCGCTAGTTTTTTTTTTTTTTTTGCAATTTAAAGTTTCTTGGTAAACATTGCCATGCAGCTAAAATAGCAGCAGGTATCTGTGAATTATTTATTTAAGAACTGTAGTATTTACATGATTTTTTTGTTTGGTACATGCCAGTATACACTTGGTATTAAAGTATTTTACATGTGGCTGAAGGTGTTTACCTATGTCCGTGTGACTTTTTTTACATGTTATATATTTGATTGCTGTATGTGTGTATATTTCCGCTTTATACCTCATATATGTACATCGCTCTCTAACAAATTTAAGACATTAAGTCATGAATCGTTTTGTGGAAATTCCGGGGTCATCCAGACGACAGCCGTCGTCCCATCGCCGTAAATGAGATCATCTGTTTTTGGGGATTCCGATTTTCCCAGTTGCGTCAGACTTTACTGATATTAGGTGCGGTGTGTTTTTAGAGCAACGGCGCAGAGAAGAGGCCAGCGGCGGACATGGGAAAGAAGCCCAAGACGCCCAAGAAGAAGAAGAAGAAGGACCCCAACGAGCCGCAGAAGCCGGTGTCGGCCTACGCCCTCTTCTTCCGCGACACGCAGGCGGCCATCAAAGGCCAGAACCCTAACGCCACCTTCGGCGAAGTTTCCAAGATTGTGGCCTCTATGTGGGATGGTCTGGGTGAAGAACAGAAGCAGGTACTTTCCGCCCCCCCCCCCAATACACAGGTAGTGGTGAAGCTCACTCTCCAGCTGCACCCAACAAGTACTTCATTGTAAAGCACATGTGAAGGTGTCTGGCTATTACAGCAGCATGCGAGCTACAAATTGAAATTCCTTTAGACAAGTAAGGTGACGATTATATAGACAAGAACCTTTAAAACACTCTTAAATCTGCATGACGCAGTTGGCTCGGCCTCCTCTCCTGGACGGAGGATGGCTACATTGTCACTCTTCGGCTGAGCTTCACAGTGACCCCTTTTCACACTCCCTCCCAACATCCATAAGAGAAATAAAATCCATAATGGACTGAGTAATGGGGTTATGAACCATTGCCTGGCATTCCCTCAGCCTTATTTACAGTGCCAAGCCCGTCACACACATACTGTGTAATAACACTCTCACACATACTCTCATACATACATAATACTTTGACAAACATACTGTCATACTCATGCATATTTTTACACATACTCTCACACATATTCTGTAATACACCCACACATTCTCATACTGTGATGTATTCTCACACATGCCCGTACTGTCACACACATACTCTCCCATACTCGTGCACACTCAAACTTCTATACATACACATACTGTACATTCACACAAACCCACATATACTCTCTCATACTCTGTCATACCCAGGCTCAATGTCAGATACTGTCACACGTGCTGTCTAATACTCTCTCCGTGGAGTCAAATGCTTCCTCAGACAAAAGGAGGCAAAAAAAGGCCTGACTCACACAAGCTGTAAATCAGCGCGATGCAATCTCATCAAACGCGGTCGCAAATATACACCCCTCAGCACTGCTGCCCCGGAGTATTGAAAGGGACCAGTAAGTAACATCACACAGTAAGCTATAAAGAATAGAAGATAGCAAGATGGGACCCTTGGCAGAGTAACTCGCAAGTCTGCTGGGTTTTCAGCTCAATCCGTGTGTGTTTCTACAAACCAAACGTTGTATACTCAGATTCACAAATTGCTTAAACATCCATAAGTCCTTTAAGCGTGTGGGTCGCCGTTCCTCCTCCCCAGCAGAACTGGCACTTAAAACTATCTAAAAAGTCCCAGGGAGCCTTGACTTTGTGCTGTTATGTAATATGGTGGAATAGCGCAGTCGCTGTGAGCGGAAAAAGCACTGCCAGTGATTTTCGGAGACGACGGCTCGCTGGGAAGGCCAGAGATACGACCCTGCAGTCAATGCTTAAAGCAGTCCTCATTTACACAGGCCCAGAGAAGAGTGTTTGGGCGTGTCCAGCATATGGGCCTCTCCCGGGGGGGGGGGGGGGGGCGACGGACGGGCCAGAATTCGCACGCCAGTGTGAGAATTACGGAGCTGCCTCACACGCACGCTCCCGGCCAAAACCGCCAGTTTGCCAGGATTTCATTATATTTTTTGTTACAAATAAGCATCTGAATTCTCTTCATTGAAATACACTGTTTTATGATGTCAGGCATAGGGAAAAAATAAAAGAAAAATGCGCAAATGTGTTTATCTATCCTACTGCTGTGTAATGAACATCGCAAAATGGGAAAATTATATTTTTCACCGCTCGCAGATTTAATTTGCTGCAATTTTGAGCCTGCCCCCCTGAATTAAAAGAATCTGGGAGACAATGAGACCAAATCAAGCTTCCGAAGTGGCCTGCTCTCCCCCCCCCCAAACACTGCCTTGTCAGGGTCCAGACTGATCCCATTAATTATGTTCCCTGTCGAGTCCATCAAATCACATCTCTCCTCTCTCCCCATCAGCCAGAGCTGTGTTCTTCCTAAATATTGGAAATGAACCAGCACAAATAAGACCAAATAGCTATTTCATATCCAGTGTCGCCTTCTGGATCCCCTGAGAATTTTTAGCTAGTCAACTACTGTGTGGAATAGTTAGTTATGGAGGTTTATATTTTCCCCCATAATCCCTTCTAGCTACTGTAACATTTAATTGAATGATGACACCTGACTACCATGATGTCATCAGCCATGACGGTTTTTAATAACTAAATGGCCAATAGTAAGTAAGGATACTTAATTTGGAACGACTTTTTGAGAAAAGACATTTGTGATAATAAAGTAGATTTATAAAGTAGATTTATAATAATAATGTCCTGATGGCACAGTGGTCCTCATCAGTAGGGATTGAGTGTCTGAACTGTCATTATGATGTAACATACCTGTCAACTAATTTCAACTGGAGATTATTAATTTAATTCATAAAGCATAAATCACACGTGCAAATAATGCAAGTCTCATTAATGTGTTTCATGTTCTATGGACCATTTGACTTGTGGAGAAAAAATTGTCATGACAGGATGATATTGAAACATTCAATGGTGAGGACAGTTGTGGTGTTGTGGGGACCACATTACAATGTGAGAAAAACCTGTTATTTTGCCATTGTGGAGACAATTTTTCGGTCCTCACAAGGGGAAACTCAATTTTATAAAATTCAATGACTGCAATCAAAAAACTAAAAATGCCAAAAGTCTCGTATTTTGTTTACTTATGGTTAAGGTTAGAGCTGGGTAGGGATTAAGGTCGTCATGTTGGGATTAGAGTTTTTCCCATAGAAATGAATGGATGGTCCCCACAAAGATATGAATACTGTATGTGTGTGTGTGTGTGTGTGCCCATCTCTTTTAATATGCTGTCCTAATTAAGTCTTTGAAAATCGTGTTTTCAAATGACAAAATGACAAGATAATAATCATCCATGCAAAAAAAAAAACAGTAGACCTGTCTGCTTGAAAGAACAAAGAGAAATTTAATCACACCAGAAAGGCAATATTTAATAATATTCTCCATTGTCTGTCACATATAAAACATTTAAAAAGTCATACCCCTATGCCAGTCAGAGGGACATTTCAATTTTATTTTATTAAAAATTCCATATCAGCTGATTGGTATGAGGATAGTTTAGGAAAATGGCCCATCATTGTGTTTGTATATAAACAGCTACCTGTTTAGCACAAGGCTAAAGCTTTATGGGGTCACCAAAATGTTACTGATCTGAGCAGTGCAGTAGCCCATTTTTCTATGGGTGATAAAGCCATCATTGGTTTCATTAATCAGAGTCACACACTTCTTTATTAAATGCCCCCCCTGCGTGATAAATCATGATGTGTCATTTCCCTGTACTGGTTGTGTCTTGACCAACTGTAAATCCATTTCTGGCTTTTCTTGACAAAGCTTCACTGTATTTATTCCTTCTCGTTATGCTGTTGCTGTTACTTAGTCTTCTCTATTGAGTTTTCTATTGAGTTTAATTGTGACTTGTTACAATGACAATAAAGGCACTCTTATTGTTCACATACATCGCATGTATATACATCCTTGTGTCCAGCCTCCCTCTTTCACTCTATTATTGTTATTATTTTTCTTGTTTCGTATTATTATTATCATTATCATCATCCTCATCATCACTGTTGCTTGGTGTCTGGATGTCATCTTTGTTTTGTGCCACTGTGTAACTGCATTTGGATGATATGACAATTAAAACCCACTCGGCTTGACATGACTTGTCCATCGTTGGCAGCTGTACAAGAAGAAGACCGAAGCGGCCAAGAAGGAGTACCTGAAGCAGCTGGCGGCGTACAGAGCTAGCTTGGTGTCCAAGGTGAGGCTTGGCGTCGCCCCTCTGATGCTACATGGGAAATCTGCATGTAGACGTGACCCTACTGGACCGTGAAGGACGTGCAGCTGGGGGAGTGTGTGTGTATTATGGGTGTGTGTGTGTTTGATTAATGGATGCTTAGGTTTCCATGGTTGAATACAGCACCCCCCATTGTAAGCTCTACCCCCAGCCCCGCTGTGTGCTCTAATAGCGCGTGTATTGCTAATGCACACATGCTTGAATATTCATCTAGCATTTTACTCTTAAAGAAAGGCTGGGTTTGCTTCATTAATCCCGTGCCAAAGCATGTCGCTGTAAAAAGAGTCATTAACTGGCTCTGATTCGCAGTCTCGTTGATTATAATTTTATTGTCGCCCTGCCACATGTGTGAACAGGAGTGTTTTAAGCTGTAGAAGGGAGTATTAAGATGTAGATGATGAAGATTTCAGAAGGTGACCGGCACAAGCTGGAATTTCAGTCTGCTTTGTGCGTTGGACTTAGGATGGATTTGAAACATCTCAGAAGATGACATATTATCACTTTTCAAAGAAATAGTCAAGTACTGATAATCTGAGCCAGTTTTGCTGCTGCATTTAAAGGTTTTGGGGAAAACTGGCCAATCGGTTTCTGTTGCATTTTGATCCATCCCCGCACCATGAACATAATGAGGTTCGACTCTCAGCTAAGCAGCAGCGAGCGTTTGAGTCACATGATGAGTCACATGATGAGTCACATGATGTGCTGACATGTTTCGCTTTCCTTGAACCTCTGGCAGAGTTACAGCGAACCTGTGGAGGTGAAGACGTGCCAGACATCGCAGATGCTGGGCCCCAAGCCTTCACTCTTCCCAGGAGCCCCCCCCGTCCACTCAGGGCTTTACTTGGGTCCCCCGTACCACCCGCAGGGCTCCATGAACCCCTCCCACCTGCCAGGTCTGCACCCCGGCCTGCCCCGCAGCATCGCCCCCAAGGCCAGTGCCCCCATGCCCGTGTCCATGGCCAGGATGGCGGCGTCACCTCCCCCGCAGCTCCAGATCAGCCCCCCCCTACACCAGCACCTGGGCCTCCCTCCAACACACCAGTCTATTGCCATGCAGCAGCAACAGCAGCCGCAGCTGACCGGCCACCAGATGGCGCTGCACTCTCCATCTATGCCACAGGTAGGTGTGCCCCCCCCCCCCCCCACTATGGTTAGCTCCCAACAAAGCATGACATTCCACATTATAGTCAGTTGTGTGTATTTACATTCATTTTCTCAGCAGATGCTTTAATCTAAAGCAATGAGCAAATGAGACAGCAGGGTGGTTCCTGGAGCATTTGGGGGTTAACAGTCAAACCTGTCTGCCAACCCTGGGATTTGAGCCACCAACCTTCCGGTCATAGGCACTGCATCCCGTCAAGTCACACACACACTATTTGCCAGTGAAGCCAAACAAAACATCTTACAGTTTTACATTTTGGTCATATCATGCAGACCTAGGAAATGTGGGTGTCTCCCTTAAATGTGCAATAGTATGCCTTGCCCTGGGATTCAAACAGACTAGCTTTGTGCTTCAAATGCTCATAACCTGTGGGTGGCTTTCTGATTTCCCTCAAAACCAGGTGCATTTCAGCTACATTCCTTGACTTAATACCATGAATTCGCCGTGGATTTAAGGGTTGAGGTTGGCCTTTCCAAAATATGGATGACAGAGGGAGAGATGAGCAACAGGTGGAATATGACATGTAGCAACAAGGCAGATCGCCAGTGACAGACTTCAGGATCAGCTGGGTTTACTGATGAATGAGGTTTCGAAGCATTACCTTCCAAAGCTTGAAACTGTTAGTGGTGTCACTCTGTATTGACCATAATGCAACCATGTCAGATACCATGTCAGGCTAATTTCCAGCTCTGTAAATATTAGGTTCTTGCCTTGTTTGGAAGACACTGTGTAGCTCTTGCTCCAGTACTGCTTACACTTGTACCTGGGCATTCACTGGAAGCTCAGTCTAGCCACACTTATGCCCAGTCGACAGCCGTATGTCTTTGATGTGCCGTTTGCCTCACTTGTACGTCACTTTGGACAAGAGCGTCCGCTAAATAAAGTTAAATGTAAATGTATAAATAAGTAATAGCGATACAACTCTAATATTTTTACACAAATGAGCAGAAAGTAACATGCGGACGTGGAAGTACAGCACATTTATAGCAAAAAGGTCATATCGATTCATTTATTTCAGCAAGATGTGGCTTGTGTTCTAACCTACTTTCATCCATGACATAACAGTATGCTTTTTTATATAAGGTGAGTTTGCTTATCAGTGGTCAGTGGATGTAATCCCACAGAGATCACAACCTGCTCACACGAACAGATTGCTTTTAGTGTGAAGAGGCTGTTTATGCCCTGTGTGTCATCTCTATGCTTCCTTTCTTTCTTGCTTTCCTTCTTTTCATCATTTCCAGCTTTCCATCCTGTGCCCCACAATATGAAAGCAGTCAAAAATAAAGCATTAATATCTGTCATATTGCTTCATAACCCCATGCTTCGTGTCTATGGCACAGACTGATTTTCAATTTTCCCTCGTAATAAACAGATGCATTAGGATTTGGATGTAATTTAAGGTTGCAAAAAAATGGAAGGAAAAAAAAAACAACAACAACATTGAGATTGATGAATACATCAGTCGCAGAGACAAAAATATCTCGGTATCTGATGAAAATCCCTCTCCGCGCGGACAGGAAATGAAATTAGTTCCCAAGTAAATCTCCGAGATGGCGATGGCAGCTTACCTGGCCACTGGCCCTTTACGGCTGGATGCTGTGTTCTACAGGAACCGATAAGGCTGCAGAAATCTAATTAAGGAACAAATGACCCTTTCGACATCAAATTAATCTTTATCAGTGCTTCCCAGCGTACAGATATTACCTTGCCAGCCTCACCTCGAAAGAACCTGTAGGCTCATGTAGAAACCAATGAGGTTATTATAAAGTTCAGATTAGATGTTTATGCTCCTAGTACTCAAAGCTTAATTTGTTCCTTAATAATGGCCACAAGATGCAGATGTTTTGAATATAGTTCATTTGTTAAGATTTGTGTAGCCTGTGATTTTACTGGACGTTTCAGAATTGTTATAAATCACTCGCAAGCTAGCTGTTTGATGGTATGTGCTTAATTCGGCACGGAGGGAAGCACTCTGACAGTTTCAGAAGATCCAGTGTTGCTTCTTTCATCCATTCGTTTCTGAATTCTGTGGATTAGCTGTAAAATACAGGCCAAGCATCAGCTTTCTAGTGTTACTGCTAATGGCAAAGTTGCTCCTGTTTTCTTGTACTCAGAAGGTGACAGATTGTCAAACAATTGTCAATTTTCTGATGAAAAGTACCTGATTGTGCTACAGATTCTGATTATCCCCCTTTTTCAAAATGATTACTTAATGTATTTTGGCTGTTCCATAAATAACATTTCCCCTGACAGAATGATTGAGGAGAAATCAAACGGACTAGGCATTCAGGCTAATTTGAACATGCTTACAGTCTTTTTGTTTTTTGCTGCATATTTTTCATTCACATACCATTATATGAATTACGCTGACCTACATATTAGTGCAAAAACAACAACTAATTAACTGGGTAAATCATAAATCAATAAGTGAAAGCTAACTGTGGTGCTTGCATGTCACACTGGTACAACAAGAAATCTTGCTGTAATCTTCCCTAGATTTACTTAAGCCACAATTTATTTATTTTTTATATAATAAAGCATGTTTTCATGCAACTACTTTAACTGTTGCTACTACTACTACTACTAATAATAATAATAATAATAATAATAATAATAACAATAGAGGGTTATGAAGTAGATATGACATTTCAATTACGGCCCGAAATGATTTCCTTATCTGATTGTTGGGGTTTTTTAACGCAGTGGAGATTTGCAAAAAAAAAAAAAAACAAGCACATTCAATGTAAATCACTTCGAAAAAGTTAAACGTCCCTCATTTGAATGTGAAAGGCTTTATTGTACGAGGCAGGGCCGTGGGGATTTGACAGAACACTGTATTCATACACAGAGTAGCTACCTGAATGAACCAAACTCTAATTTATCACTCCTCGGAATACAAATGAGAGCCGGAGTGCCCGTCTTCGTAATCACATGGATTAGGGGCTGAAATTGTCTGAAGGCCAATTTTAGATTAGCCTGTTACTCCTTGTATGGGTGAGTCAGTCTTTATAAAGAGAGGAAATACTTAAGCTATACTTTTCTTATTCCGTCGGGGAGTCATAAGCTTCATCCCTTTAGATCTCTCCTTTATATCGGTTATAAACCTCGCCAGCATAATAATCCTCTCGCGTTTTGCATATTTGTGAAGCACAAATAAAAACGGGAGAGGGAGGTGCATGTGGTTCAACTTTGGTTTGCTGTAGCAGTGGGGCGGAAGGGGGGGGGCTGTACAAAAAGACAGATGGTCCTTTTGTGATCGAGTGAAGGAGAAGTATTTGGGGGGGGGGGACAATGAGTGAATAGGTAGAGTAGGGGGAGGGGCTGGGAACGCTGGAGCCACCTGCTGTCGCAGCTTTTCAGGACGCCGTTCTTCTGCACCTCCAGGATTTACTTCCTTTCCACGTTACTTTTCTTTGGATGAGTGCGGGGAAAAGGTCTCGAAATTAAAAGATCCGCTCCACTCCGGTTCGCCGTTCTGCGTAATCACATAACGATAATTATAAAGTATTTATAATGACACCGCATCTCGCTCTATTTATGTGTCGACAGCAGTTCGTAAGTCATATATGTGTGATTTTTTTAATGACTTGTTTGTCGCATTCGTTAAACCACCTGTTGTATCAGTAGGTGAGGGGGTGACCACTCCGCCTTGTGATGTGACTAGCTAGCTTGTAGAATGGATGCGCATTTATTTCCTCACCAGCTGAGAAAATTGCTAACAACTTCCTCTTGCCTATCGCTAACAATTTCTTGTGGCTGTCATGTCACTCGTTAAAAAAAATCTATAACTGATGAAAAGGGAGGAAAGTCTACACATGAATGTTACACTCAGTCTGCGGGGGTCACACACCCCCTGATGGGGAGGACAGAACTTAAATTAATAGGGACCACATAAGACTTGTGGGTTGGTCTGTCTAACCAAGACTCTGTGACACTCCAGAGAACCTCAAATACCTCACGGTTGGTGATAATGGCCATTTGTCACCTTTGGCCGACAATGGATCCGACCGCTTTACGACATCCTGTATTCTCTCCTTCTTCCCTGAAGGAGGCAATCTCTGCTGCTGTAAATTATCGCCGACGAGTCCGGGGAGGGGGGACTCCTATTACCACAGTGATCTGGTTAATTCATTATGATTTGATATTTGTTAGCCAAATAGGCTGATTAGATTCATAATTAGTTGAGCCTGTAGTCATGAACTAACTTAACTGTAAGCAAAAAACATAAGTAAGCAACCCAGCGATGTGCTGAAAATCCGCACTCATGCGGCACACCTGGTTTGTTACAATAACAAAATGAATTTACACCAAAGGATGACGCAAACAAAATTTGAGCGGCAGATCTGGCATAAACATGTTTACACGCACACTGCAAACGTGGTTTTACCGCAGTAGGAGTAATAAGCAAGGTGTTTTTGCATGAGCGGCATGCTGAAACTTCGTTGACTCGTATTGATTTCCCCTGTGCCTTTCTTCAAGCCATCGGCTGTTGTTTGTTCCTGTAGTAACTGTGATTTTTTTTGTGCTTTTCCAAAGCAGGGATTTCCCCTACAAGGAGAGTTCCAGAACATCCTGGGGTGCAACTCTCCCGGTGGCCAGGCGTCGTCCCCGGTGATGGATTACATGCGGTCCGGTTGTAGGAACCCCCCAGCACAGAGTGTGGAGTGGAGCAGCGAGTACTGCAGTAACGGGTCAGTGACCTGCCCTGGGCCTTCATTAGCATGCTGCCCCCGATTAAATGCTGAACTTTATAAAATGGAGACATGATGGTCTGTTTCCCTTGACATTACATCAACACCCAGACTGATTAACTGGTTAGGACACTGTGCCTGTGATCAGAATATCACAAGTTCAAATCCCAGAGTCAGCAGAGTGATTTCTCTGTTGGGCCCCTGAGCAAAGCCTTTAACCCCAATTTCTCCTCTGCATTCTCAGTTTTACGTTACTTTGGATTAATGCCTCTGCTAAATAAAAATGGGAAATTTATTTATTAGAAAAATGCAAAGTCAAAACTAGCTGGAGAATTTTATTGGCAACTATTTCTGACCATTTAAAATGGTTAAACAAGTTTTTGTTTCCATCCTTTTCCAGAAACCTGCCGAGAGACAAAGCCCTGTACCTCACCTGATCTGGAGATGGGAGTTTCCACGGAAATCCCCCCCATCGCCTCCTCGCGTTGGAAGCAGACCTTCATCTCTGCGGAAAATCCAGTCACCGAGCACTTACAACTTCATATCTTACACTTAAGATTTTTCCAGGTCGGCCAAGAAAGGAATTCAAAAAACGAAATGCAAGGACTTGCTTTTTCAGAAAAAAAAAAAACGAAAACAATTTGATTGCACGAAACAGGGACGGGAAGGGAAATGTGGAACAAAACGCTTACATCTGATGGTTATTGCTTTGGAGTTTCCCTAGCAAATGGGCTTAGATTCTGTAGTTTTTTTTTCAGGAAAGAAATTGTAGTCTTCTGTTATTGTTTTAAAAGTCGGGGTTGAAAGGTATCTGTGAAGACTTTTAACAGCTTTTTATAGTCAACATAGCATCTCTGTAAATATATTTGACCTTACACTCTTTTAGAGTATAAAAAACATTTAAGTATGGTGCGATTTAATCAAGACAAGCTTACATACAGTACGTCTTTAAAATGGGCGTTAAATTAAAAATATCCTCCTATTTTTGCCTAATTTTAAGGAGTATTCCAACTGAGAAATTACTATATTTTACAAAAAAAAAAAAAACAATTTAACCTGGTTCTCAAAAATTATTATAAAAATCTGTTGACCCACGAAGGTGCATGAGTTATCTGAAGAGGCAGGAAAAGGAGAATGAATCAAAAGGAAAGAAAGTTTATTTTGTACTACATAGAAAAGCCTTTTTGTATCAATTGTTGTGTGTTAATTAGTAAGTATCCCTCAAACTCTGTGTGGAACAACCAATGGCTTCTGTGATGTTAAATAGACACAGTAACAGACTGAAAACTACTAAATTATAAATCGGGCACATCTGTGTATTATTATTATTATTATTATTCTTATTATTATTATTATTTCTTGATAATAAGGCTATATTTAATCTTTTTTTAAGGAAACGTTTTTCGCTTGTTTACGATATAATGATATAATGGTGGTTGTAAGTAACTATGTTAGCACCAAAAGGACATTTTTTTCTGTTTATTTTTGGACAAGTGGATCCAGGAAAACCATGTGAATATTATTATTTAGTTTTTATTGTGTTTCCAAAAAAATAAATAAATAAGTAAAACCTGCATTTTGTGCAGTAATCTAACTCTGTCTGGCTGCTTACATTTGTCCCACAGGATGTTTGACGTAACTAAACGGGACGGGCTTTTTTGGAGAGGCAGCCACCCCCGACACTTCTGCATCCCCCCCCCCAAATTCTCAGGCCCAGAGTCCCCCACCCCCATTCCTATTTTCACGGAACCGACATTGTGTTTTGTGTTCCCACCTATCCTGCCCTACAATTTGTCTACGTTCTTTACTCACTACCCTTCAAACCCCACGACGGGACGTCACCACCTCCAGTAGACGTTACGCTAAAACCCCATAAATCCTGTTAGCTGAAGTCCTGTTAGCACATTAATAACCCTTCCCAGTACAATAGGTAATTAATACCCATATTCAAGCTCAAGTCATGTGGGGATAATTACATGCGAACTACCTACTGTACGGCAGTAATTATACACAGAATTCTTTCCAAAATACAAAAGGCCTACAAATTAATGTGTGTAATGGCAGGGTTTTGACATCTTGCACAGACTGACGATAATCTTCACTTTGTTTAACGTGCTTTTGTAGAGACACGACTTGTAGAAGTGTTACCTTCTACTGACTGATGCTGCTACTTGACGGAGCCGTTGAAAGTGGCCTACATGTGCTCCTCATTCGGTTTTACTAAAGTCATCATGGAGTATCTTGGCTCTGGGTGGCACAGTGGCTCAGTGCATAGCTCAGCTGGTTGGGAGTTTGACTCCTGCATCTTACGTGTGGAGTTTGCATGTCCTCCCCCATGTCGTGTGGGATTCCACCTGCATGCGATTAAGCTAATTGGTGTCTCAAACATTCATGTAGTGCATGTAGCATATGAAGGACTGGCATCCCATCCAGGGTGTCCCAAAGCCAGTGCTACCTAGAATAGACTGCAGGCCGTAGTCATATGGATCAGGGGTTGAAACTGGAACCTCGAAATCCCATTTTTGTGGGTTGAGTTTGCATGTCATTCTTGTTCTCAAGTTTGCTTTGTTCGGGATGCCCCCTGCTTCATGATTCCTGGGCTAGATGCCAGATTCACTGCAACACTCTATTGCAATATCTGTCAACCCAGTAGTTGGGGACCCCCAGACCAGGGGCGTTGCTAGAGATTTTGGGCCCCATGAAAGCATATCATATTAGGCCCCCCAGTCCAAACCAATACAGTTATTTTCCTAATTTTTTAGGGCCCCTGTCACTCAGGGGCCCTTGGAATCGTCCTACCTTTCCTCCCCCTTACGGCGCCCCTGCCCCAGACAGTTCACATTTTTGCTCCCTCCTAGCTCTCAGCCAATCAAGAACACCGAAAACCTGGCACAGGCCCATTGGTAACTGGGGGGGGAGCTAAAATGTGGTCTGTATGGGGGTCCCTGAAGGCTGGGTTCAGAAACAGCTCTCTACTGGATGAGGGGTTATGGAAGCTGAACAAGTTCTATGGGTTTAAAGGAAGATTGTAGCTGTTTTGAAGAATGTTTAAAACCATGTGGTCAATATCAAGGTTACAGTATAAACAACAAACGTGTAGCTGAAAGAATATAAAAACATTACCTTAAAAGCTTATTTCGTCAGATATTCCAGTTTATTTCCCTAGCGATGAAAGCATTCTTAATGAAAGTCTTCTTTCTCACATGCCTGTGTTTATTTATTTCTGCCTCTGTGGTTAGAGGTTTTGCCCTCCTGGTTTCATGCTTGTGACTCTGGCCATTTTTCCTTTTTTTTTTTTTTTTTACCTGTATTTGGAAATCCGTGTCCTTCTTCTGGGCCGTGACCCTGTGACAGATTGATGTTCCGTCCACATGGACCACGTGTGACATGGATCACGTGATCCCAGGATTCCAGGTTTGGACAGGGCCAGTGTTGGAACCGTGTCAGAGGTCTTGGGGGTTGGCAAAGGCAGGGAGAGGTAGAGCTGGGGGGGGGGGGGGGGTTGGAGGGTAGCAGTGGTAAAGGTTGTCGACTGGGGGAGGTGGTGAGGTAAGATGGCCATTTTAAAGGGACCCCTTTAAGCATATTTTTGTCTTAATGTAGGGTGGTGGGCCCTTAGATTTTAGACATCGGGGGCGGGGGGGTTCCCATTTCCCTGTGAATGGCTTTGTTTTTCACATGGTCTTATAATAAATTACCTTTACCAAGCTTCACATAACACCCATTAATTAAATCACAGGATGCCCAGGGTGACAAATGATTTAACAAACTAACAAGCTTTCATTTGCTGTCATGCCACAGTTGCAGTTGTTTAACAACGCAGCCACTTTCTGTCATAAAACAAACTATACTAGTGTTTTTTCAATCAATTGGTCAAGCATACACATTATTATTGAAGAGAAGTTCACGCACAGTTTAGACCTAGGCAATCGAACCAAATGCAAACAGTAAATTCGCAAAGCATCGGCGCTGACGTTATAAGTTGTCTGGGAAAGCATGTAAAAAGGTCCTTATCACTCTTGAGTAAATGCCGGAGCCATAGATCACTCGTGCTCTTAAAACGTCAGCCGGACAAGGATCCGGCAGTTTCATTTATCCGGGCTCTCCGGGGAGATGCAGATGGTATCTCTGTTATTCTTTCAGAAATGTAATCAGCGGCTACGGGGAAATCCTGTAACCTGAGTTTTGCATTAAGAAGTTGTCCAAGGGTGGCCATTCGAGTTTATGTTATTAAAACCGGTCCGCCCACCAGATGAGCTCATTCTTTTTTCCAATCTTGTGTTCACATTCATTTATTTATTAGGTCCTTTCGTTCTCCAAAGGGATTTACAGGGTAAACACAGAACAGATAAAAGGTAAACGCACAAGCACATAATCAGTAAATGCAGTCTTGTGCTCAGTTAATGTGAGATATTACTCTGTAGTACAGTGCTGTGCAGAATAATCAGAATAAAGGCAACGCCCAGGGGCGATGCTAGGATTTCTTAAGGTGGGGTTGCATAAGCCAATGCATACATTAGCCAATGAGATGTACGTCTTTAAAGCTGATCAGCTTTGATCAGCTTTCACATGCGACCGGGGCCCCTGTGACCCCTGACCCCGCCCTTGTATACGCTCCTGCCAACGGCAGAAGCTGAAGGTGGACTCACATCCACAGGTGGGACCGTGGAAGTCCCTTACATGCAACGGGGCTGTGGTGAGGAGTTTGACTCCCCAAATACAGACAGGTGGTATAGACTCTGAGTCCATTCGTGAAGAGAGGGAAGGATTTTTCAGCTGTAAGGCTCAGGGAAACCCGGTCTTTCTACACAGGAGTTACACTGGAATTTAGATGAAGACGGAACTGTCAAATGACCTGATGTAAATGAACACAGAGAGCTGTAAGGTGAGATGAGAGTGTACAGATATGATGGTACTCCTCACATGTCATCTGTGGATCAAATTTTGCATTTATCCTTCAGTGGGCCAGCAAGGTAAAATGTTGTCAGATGTGCCGGTTGTTGTAGGATATGATCAGAAGGTCATTGGTTCAAATCCCATGGTCAGTAGAGTGATGTCATGGTTGGGCCCCTGAGTGAGGCCCTTAACCTCCCAGCTGTTCCAGGGATTGTCTGACCCTGACTTCTCAAAAAAATAAAAAGTATATTGGATTAAAGCGTCTGATAAATATGTAAAAATATGGAATCAGGCTACTACTGCTGTGTAGCCCAACATGGAGCCCTGGTTGAGGGCGCTGCCTTCATATGGTGCAATGAGCTGATGGTGAGATGGTGGACAGGCTGGAATGTGGAGAATCCCAGTCTATGTTAGGTTAAGCTGGAGGTCATGATCCGCCAGAAAAAAATGGAGAACGAACTTTCGTGTCAGAGGCAGAAGGTAAAGTAGGCATGCAGGTCATTAATACAGCAGAATCAAGGATACATTTAGATCACTGTATTAAGATAAAAGGGATCACAGAACTGATTTGAGAAATTACTCAGAAAAATTCCCCAGGGAGATTTTGTTTTGGTGCATCAGATATCAAATTTTGCATTTATCCTTCGATGGGCCAGCAAGGTAAAAATTAGCCATATTGATGGGAAAATACAACATGACACAATGCAGAATTTTGAAAATGTAAATTGTTGGGAATTTCAACAGTTTCTCAAAATTTGTTGTTATCAGTGGAAAAGAGACAGGAATTATGAATTTCACAACACTCCCATCTCTTAATGCAATTCTAAAAATGATTATACAAAATAATAAAATGAACAAGAGACATAGATTTACATATGGAAATAGCGGAAAAAGGTCTAATGTTTGTCACGCCTGTATAACGGCTGTGTTTTACTTTACTAAAAGGTTATTAGTTTCACTTGTGGGGTGAAATCTGTGTCTCGGCTTAGGAATGACTAACGGTGCCACTGTTTCGGTCCCTTTTACCTTAAACTGGGGGTGTAGAGCAATGCCGAATTGGCCAATGGGGATGAGGTTATCTGAACACGTAACTGAGAGGCTAGTTTGTTAAGGCCATTATTAGCAAAGGTCAAGCGTTCGGAAAGTTTTGCCGAAAAGTAGATTATTCGTTATCATTAATCCTCGCCTAATTTAATATAAGCACAGACGCCAGGCTTGTTTCTCACCTTCAGGGCTGGGGGTCGGAATCCACCCTGTATGCTGTGTGTGTGAGGTGTGGATGTGCAATTATTTTGCATGTATTTGAACTCCAACAACAAGAAATTGCCATGTTTAAGGATTTACAGCAAATGCGTTGCGTACCAGTTATGTCAATCCCCGATAAAGTCATTACTGTCTCAGAATGTTTAAAAATGATGATGTTTAAAACAAGAATGCCCATTAGTGTTTGATATTGTCACATAATGAGAAGTGCATTGACGATCCACCTGTAATCGTGGTCTGGTCACGGCCATCATATGCTATCGTCTCTCGTCTCACCCACGTTCCAGCGAGTGGTGTTTGGCGCGGCTTTAGCTGAACTTTAACTTTGCACCAGCCGACCTGAGTTAAAAAAAAGACACTGGCAGAATGTTTTCTGCTGAAGCAGCAGGCATCGCAGATTTTTCACGTTATTTAG